GGATTTTCTGCGTGCGTTCACTTTGAAGACAAAAGTGCATACAAATTGCACACTTATGTACGATAATCTAGAAATAACTTCGAAATGCTCGAAATTCCACACAAATTAGCATAAATCAACGAAAGCCGCTCCGAAGGCTGGCAAAGCACGGCGGCCTGGCAAGGATAACACAAGGCGTTTGCAATGGTCGTGCCACAGTTGTCCTTGTTGTTGTCGCTGTGCTGCCTGTAGCTTCATTTAATGGCAGACATTAATAACCTGATTTAATTTATGGCCAAAAGCAAACAAAGCCAGGCGAAATGCGCCACCCAACGGAACAGCCAGCCAGAAGGCCGAGGCTCGACTGCAGCCCCAGTGCATTGGCAAGGGCAATTACTCAAGAGTGTGTAGCTCCTAATAAGGCTTAAGGCGGCCCAAAAAAGCTAGTCGAAAAGTGTCGATGCCGCTCTCACTTCTCTCTCTCTTCACGCGCCTCTCACTCCTTTCACTCCTTAGCATCTTCGTCTGTCCGTTTGTCAGGTGAACATTTTTCGTTGGCCTGCGACCAGAAATGCCTCAAAGGCAGCGCTCGGAATTAATTAGCTGTTGCTCCGCTTGTTTGTGGCTTGCCCGGGCTATCTCTGGAAATAATTTACAGCAGCCATGCTTATGTCATGAATATGCAAGCACCTCAAGTGGGTGGTCTGTCGACAGTGGCTCTGCCCCGCCCTGTATGCGCCCCTTGCGCCCCTTGCGCCCCTTGCAGAAACAATAACAAACTCTGGGCACACACAAACAGGACCATAAACTGGGCTGCCAAATGGCAACGGGCCCTGGGTGGCTCCGTCATATCTGTTTACAGCATCGCGCCACACTAACTTCGTGATTAGTTCCGTTGTTTTGATAAGATAACACGCAGATATTTGTGCTATAAAAGCAACGCCTGGGCATTAGCATAGGTCAGTCTTCGAAATAAACTCTTCCAAACATGAACTCGCTGTGTCTGCTCGCTGTGTGTCTGGCTCTGGCCAGCTGTTGCCTCGCCAGCCCCTGGGCCAAGCCCACCGGCCAGCCGGGCTGCCAGACGGAGGAGGAGCTGGCGGTGGGCGCCTATCGCCACTTCTACCTCAAGAACCAGTACTGGGTATGCCAGGTGCGGGGCGTGCCGGCCTCGCCGGCCTACTGTCCCATTGCCCAGGCCTGGCTGGATGATGTCAAGGCCTGTGTGCCCTACTCCGAGTGGTACTGGACGGCAACAGTGGCTCCACCAAGTCAGCCTCTTGCCTGAATGGTTTTGGTTTACGAATTATTTGAATTTCATTTCAAAGTTCAATTGAAATATAATTTGTTTTATTACGCATACGCCTCGTGGTTATTTAAATTATTTTTTAACTTTAAAAACTGGATGTAAAATGTGTACGTGATTATTTGAATAATATAAATTATTTATTTTAAATGAATTTAAATTTAAATGAATTTAAAAACCATGTCTATGAGGCATGCTGCCGGCTGTTCATCTCTTGATTTTAAAGCGTGACTTCAAAACAATTTATTTTAAATATATATTTCAATTGAAATACAATTTAATTGCCTCATAGTTAATTAGACTACATATATTCAATATATATATATACATTTTTTTGGCTTTATATACTATTTTGAGCATAGTTTGGAGAAGTGCGTGGCACAACAATTGAATTCATTAGGTTTAGCTGGATTTGGGCGCAATTCGGAATAAACTTAATTAAAAACCAATTTTGCAATAGCCGCCTGAGCGTTGGGCGCCAGCGGCAGCTAATTAAAAATTATTAAAATGGGCAACGGGGCTTGAGCCCGCCCCTTCCGATGGAGGCCATCGTAACGTCAATTTATCGAATTACGCAAACAATGGAGTGCAAAGGGAGCCGATGTTACGCTTCCCGGGGATAACGCCTGGATTTTCATGGAACCGCAGCAATTGCTGGCCAGTCACGCCCACGCTCATGCCCACGCCCACGGCCACAATCCACGGTTCAGTCCATTTGACCACGCACTCTGCGTAATTGTTCCGCGCATGAGGACCACGGATACAGCAGAGCAAACAAATGCAAATCCTTTCCCAGGGTCAACAGGCAACATGCGTGCGCCTGTGCTTGTGTGTGTGTGTGTGTGTGTGTGAGGGGTTCCCAAAGCGGCTTACGTTCCGTTCAGCCAGCATCCAGCAGCCACGCCCTCGCTTCTGGCTCAACCTGCTGACAACATAAAGAGCAGTCCGTCCAAAAAATTGGTTTTAATTAAATTGGCGACAAATTTCGGTCTGCCCTGCCAGTCTTTAATTATGGGCCTTTGCGGTTGGCTCGGTTAGCTGCTAGACTCAACAGCCGATACCCCGCACCCGCCTCAGCCGCAGCAGCTCATCGGTTAAACGGCCGTTCATTTGCTTGATTTGTCTGCTAAGCTTCGATTGCAAGCCAGGGTGTTGGATATGTTATTGATATGCCAACTCAGTCAACACATTTTGACTTTGTAATGTCTCAAAGGTCAAGGCTAACAAAGCTGGCAGCTATTTCTTGTTAGCTTGACTCGAAGTTTTGATTAACTTGAAACTAGCTTTATTGACTTCTCATTGTTGCATAATTGTATATTAATTATGTATGACTTGGGTATATATATACATGTGTATATAATAATTGAAAAATAAGAAACAGAATATAAGCAAAAAAAAAAACATTTTAAATAATTTTAAAAAAATATATGAATAATTAAAAATGTAAATACATAAATATATATTAATAATAATTGAAAAATATTATTTAAATATTAAAATAAAAACACATTTTTTTCACAAAAATAACGACAATTTTTGTAATTAAATAATGTATATTAAATAAATAGA